TAGAGTGCGGCGGCGCTCCCGCCGAGGGTTCGGATCCCATATAGAGACCGGTCCGCTCACTGGTTGAGCGCGGTGCAGGCACGACACCGAGGGTTGCGATCCCGTTGCCGGTCGCGGTGCAGGCGCGACACTGAGGGTTGCGATCCCGTTACCAGTCATGAAAAAAGACAAAAAGGAAAAAAAAATAAAAGAAAAGTTTAATGTTAACACTGGTATTTAGATCCCCGCTTGGTTGGCTAAGGAATATCATGCCATTACTTTTTACAGCCAGGAATTGATGGCACAGGGGCATAGAAACTCAGAGGTTTTCTATAGCAAATAAGGTCTTGTTATTTACAGCCTGTTGCTCACTACAGTTAATCAGTGAAAGGGTTTTTATTTGTTTGCTTGCTTTTTCATGATCAGGAAGCTCTTAGAATCCCAGTCCCCTGCTTCTTCATTTTGATTCCCATTGGCTTTAGGCATTTTCCCCACGAGATATCATTTTTCTTTTCCTGTTTTTTTTCTAACAATTGAGCTTTTTACTTGGCACAGGCAAGAAATAACTCAGAATGGAGCTTTATTGTGGCCTCTACCTTCAGAAACAGGACGTGATGAAGCACATCTGATATTATTTCCAAGGATTTTGAATTTTGTTTTCATTGTTTGTATTTAACTCCTAGTATTTTTCCATATACAGACATTTTTTTATTAAGCCATAGAGTTCATAGCATTTTGTATTCAGCGACTTCCACACTTCTAAATGTTTTCTCTTTTCCATGCTTTTATTTCTTTTTCCTTTTCTTTCTTTCTTTTTTTTTTTGGCAGTTGGCCAGTAAGGGGCCAAGCCTTTATTACTTTTAATGTCATAATGTATTTTACTGAGTTGAGTTGAAGTCATCATTTATTAAATTTTCCCTGTTGTTGGGACTGTCTTATAGGCTATTTTCAGGTTTTTATTAGAGATAATTCTATAAGGAACATCATCTTAATATGGTTTCTTGCTCCTGTAGAATAATTTCCTTAAGATTGCTTCTTGTGAATAGAACTTGTACCTCATTCTGACCCTTGCTGTGTAATTATAAGCAAGTTTATTTCATTTGAGCACCTTTTATGGTAAGTTAGCTATATAGAAAATAGTGACTAATCTGTGAATCCAAATAGGAATATGAGGGGCTTGCCAGAGACGTCAGTGTACAGCAAAATTGGAATTGTACTTTCTTGTTTACAGCTCCTTAACTTTTGTTTCAGTGATTGACATAAAACTGGAAAAGCCTCAAGAGCAACCAGTCAGTGAAGGAGGCTGTTCCTGCTAATGCCCCGTGGCATCTTCAACCCTTCTTCAGAAGCTCACTGCTTTGGCCCCCTTACTCTTTCATTGACTGCAGTGTGAATATTGGCTTGAACCTTTTCCCTTCAGTAATAACATATTGCAATTCATCATTGCTGCCTGTCTCGTGGAGATGATCTATTAGCTTCACAAGCACAAAAAAAGTCAGTGTCTTCATTATTTATATTTTACAAAAAGCCAAAAGATTCCAGCATATTCCAGTGATAACTTTAAATATTAGACACATTTTCTTAACATTTTTTCCTTTTTTAATGTTATAATAATGTACTTCAAAATGATGGAATTCTCAACAGTATGAGTATGGCTTGGTTAAGGAACGATATGTTCACAGCAGCACTTGCCTACCTACTTGATCTCTCCCTCCTTTTCTCACCTCTCCCTTACCCCCATCCCTATTGTTACCCTCCCTCCCTTAAAACAAACAAAAGGTGGCAAAGCAGCAGTCAGACCAAGCCCACTGGAAGTATCCTTCACTTTTACAGATACCACTTTCTGTAGGCCATGGGGCTAAGATGCCCCAAATTATTCTTGAGCACTGATATAAATTACTTAGACCTTCTTTGAGGTCAAAACTCAGCTATTATGGTGGGCAGTGCTTGAATGAGAAAAGGGTTCTGGTTCATCTTCAAAATGAGTCCTAATGAACATTCTGAATACAAGTAGAGGAACATAAAATGTATTTCTGACCGAAACAAATGACCCTTTCACATGTGCTTTATTAGACTCTGGGAGAAGAGAAAAACCAAGTACTTTAGAACAGATTTTTAATATTTAACTCTTCATGATAAAATTGTATAGTTCTAATGAACTGTTTCTCCCAAAATTTTTAAATTGTCAAGATAGGGTTATTCTGTTTGTTTAAAAAGAAAAAGAGCCATTTTAAGCAATAGAATTCACTTTTTCTTTCTTTTTCAAACATGCTATGCAGGCAAGGCAGTATAAAAGTCTAATTTCTTTAAGAAGAGCCAGTGGAAGAATTTAAATTTGGTACCATGATCAAAACTACTGTAACTAGTGGAACTAATGATATCTAAAGCTTACCAACAGAAGAACCCTCAGCAGAATAGCAAATACTTTGCTCCGGACGTTTGAGGTCAAATTGAGGATGGAAACAGCTTTCTTGTAAGCCCCTGGAGGCAGATCAGAAAAAGCGTACATAGAAGAGGGAAAGAAGAGAATGGAAATAAAACTCAATATTATGCAGATTTATGCCTTATTTTTTTAACATTTTTTAAATGTTGGGTCTTTCAGGCTGGTTTTGCTTTTTATTAGATCTGTATAGTTTGGTTAATTAACTAGTGATTTAGTTTTATATTTAAGCTACAATTAATCTTTTCTTTGGTGATATTTATTTCTCTGCCTTTTTAAAAAAACTATTTCAGTTTTTAGATGTTTCTGTTGAATCTGTTTAGAGCTTCATCACCATGGCAATATGTTCTTCCCTTAAAACACTGCAAACAAACATACTAGGAGTGCACCATTTTAATCTTTACTAGTTATTGTGAGATTGCTGTGTAAGTTAATAAACACATTTGTAAATACATTGTTTGCAGGAAGAACATTTCTGAGTTACAGCTCAGGAAAAGCCTGCTGAATTTATGTTGTAAGCATTACTTAACACAGTATAAAGATGAAAAGACAACAAAAATATCTTCATACTTCCTTATCCCCTCATTGCAACAAAACCCTTAACTGGGAGAACCTTATTCCCCTCTCTTTCTTCTTCCTCCTCCACTTCCCAGTTATTGTCATCTTGTAATATTCAGAGAGCACTTGGATTATGGACCTGAGTAGAGAAATGCTTTCAGATAATCATTAGCCCACATACCAGTAACTTATACTCAAAGATGGGATGGAGTTGTAAAGTGCTTTTATAATACAATATTGTTGTTAAAGGCAAGGGTTCACTCTTTTGTTTTATTTTGACATGGCATGTCCTAAAATAAATATCAATTAAATATGGCAAAAAAAAAACAAAAAACAAATACATTAATATTCCATTCACTCATATTTATTTTAAAATGTGCTGTACTCCAGCAGCTAATCAAAGAATCCTAGTTGACATAAAAAAAATTTTCCTTCATAGTAAAACTTTGTTTTAACAATTTGGTAACTTCTTCCCAGATAGTGATTTTCATTTAGTTAGCATTCCTTGCTAATAGTATTTAGAGTCTTAATACCAAAAATAAGATGCAAAACTTGAAAGTAAACCATCACAACATTTAATTTTTCAAATGCATTAACAATTTGAAAAAAACAATAAGAAGGAGTATTCAGGGCTTATATGTTTATGAGGATCTAATTATGTTTGACCATGTTCTACTAGAGTTAATATTACACACTGAATGAACACTGCCTCAAAAGAAAAAGTGAGTATCATCTGTCTGCCATTTGCAGCAGCATGGATGAGCCTGTAGAAAATTGTTAAGTGAAATAAGCCAGACACAGAGATATACCACATGTCCTCATTAAGTGGGAACTAAAAAATCAATTATAAAGAACAATCGCTATAATATGCTGAACTTTCAGAAGGAGAGATCAGAACTGTGGTTACTATAGGTGGGAAAGGGAGGGGGATTAGCAAGAATTTGGTTAACTGACACAATGATTACATTTTTGTAACGATGAATATACTAATTATTTTAATTTGATCACATTGTACACAAGTATTGACATGCAACTCTGTACCCCACAAATATGTATAATCAATTGTTTCAATAAAAATTTTTTAAAAATTAGAAAAAGTGAATACCATCTGAAGCAGAAATACTTCCAGAAAGACAACCAGTGATTTAAAGATGATGTAATAAGTATCAAGGAGATAAGATATTAGCAATATGGGACAAGAATAAAACATCATAAGATAACCAAAATAAGTGTGAGAAAATGTAATAGTTGCAATAAGGAACACATAAAAGGGGTAAATGGTAGAATGGATTCCGTTGAGTGAATTAGTGAGTTGGAACATTAAACTGAGGAACTCATTTCTCAAAAAGCAGAGAAACAAGAAAGTCAAGGAGGATAATAGTTTGAAGTGACAACATCCAGTAGCAATTCCAGAAAGACTAAACAGGAAGAATTCAAATACTAAAAGAATTCTGAACATGGTATGTATAATAGGCATCTGCATATCTTCTGAATGCAGCTTCTGAAATGGCTCCTGATCCCTGCCTCTTGGTATTCAGGCCCTTGTATTATTCCCTTCCCTTGAGTATAGGCTTGGCCTAGTGACTTGCTTCTAAGGAATGGAATACAGCAAAAGTTATGAGATGTCACTTCAAAGATTAGGTTGTGAAAGACTATATCTTCTGTGTTGTTCACACCATTTCTCCAACTCTTTTCTCTTGCCTCTCTATGAAGCAACCTGCCATGTTATAAGCTGCCTTTGGAAAAGCCCATGTAATAAGGAGCTGAGGGTGGCCTCCAGCCAGCAACCGATGAGGAACTGAGATCCTCAGTAAAACAGCTCTCAAGGAACTGAATGAAAAACAAACCATGGATGAGAAAATGTTCGCAAATATATTTGATAAAGTGCTAGTATTCAAAATATATGAAGAACTCTCATAATTTGGTAGGAAAACAATCCAATAAAAGCAGGCAAAAGATTTGACCAGACACTTCACTGAAGCATATAGACAAATGGCAAAAAAAAAAAAAAAAAGATGAAAAGATGCTCAACGTCATTGTTCTCTAGGGAAATGTAAATTAAAACTACAATGAGATTCCACTATACACACATTAGAAAAGCTTAAATTAAAAAGACTAACCATACCAACTATTGGTGAGGATGGGAATAACGAACTCTCATGTACTGTTATGTGATTTTGGAAAAACAATATGACAATTTCTCACAAAGTTAAATATATACTTATACAACCCATCCATTCCATGCCTAAGTATTTATCCACAAGGAATGAAAGCATGTGTCCATATGAAGACTTGTACACAAATGTACACAATAGCAGCTTTATTTCTATTGGCTAAGAAGTGGAAACAACCCAAATGCCCATTAAAAGTTGAGTTTATAAACATGGTACATTCATACTATGGGACACTGCTCAGAAACAAAAGGAATGAACCATTGATACCCACAACAACATTGATGAGTCAGGAGAACTATCCTTAGTGAAAAAAGTTGGGCAAAAAGTACGTACTTTATGATTCCATTTATATGAACTTCTAAGATATACAAACTATAGTGACAGCAGATCACTGGATGCTTGAGGATGCAGGAGATTCGAGGAAGAGTGGGAAAAGTATTACAAAAGGACATGGAGAAATTTTGGGGGGTGATGGGTATATTTATTACTTGATTGCAGTGGTATAGATTCATAGGTGTGTACATATGTCAAAAGCTATCAAGTTGTACACTATAAATACACTAAATATGTGTAATTTTATTGTATGTCAATTGTATCTTGGTAAAACTGTTAAAGAATATATAACTAACAAGCTCATAGAGGAGGGAAAATTGAATAATAAAACGACTCATCTGAAGACCATAAATAAGAAATAGACATCCAAACACTACTGATTCTTCCAATTCACATACATGGCATATTTCTCTTTTTATATAGGTCCTCCTCTAATTTTTCCTAGCATCTCAATAATATTTGCTGTTGGGGTCTTAAGCAAATTTGTAAACTTATACCTGAATAGTTTCTGTTTCTTTTTATGGTAATTAAAGGGACTTGTGTTTTGTGCTTGTTTTTAGTTTCAGTTTCCAGTTGCTTGCTACTGGTGTAGACATACAATTGATTGCTGCATATTGACTTAAACTTGCTTAACTCATTTATTAGTTCTAGTAGTTTTTAGTTAATTCCTCAGTGTTTTTTTTACATAAACAATCATGTCATCAGCATATCTTCCTTTCCAAACCTTATGCTTTCTATTTTTTATTTTTTTCTTGCCTTATTGTATTGGCTAAGACCTCCAGTACAGTGCTGAACAGAAGTGATGAAAGCAGATTACCTTTCCTGTGTTCTTAGGGGATGACATTCAGCATTTCAGCACTTATTAACAGCACTTAATGCGTTAGCTCAGTGTGTGTTTAGTAGATTTAATGAGATATAATTTACATAGCATATAATTCACCCTTTTAAAGTATACAATGTAATAGTTTTTGGTATATTTACAGAGTTGTGCAATCATCACCACAGTAAATTTTAGAACATTTTCATCACTCTAAAATGAAACCCTGTACCCATTTGTAATCACTCAACATTTTCAACCAACCCATGCCAACCACCACCCCCAACCCTAGACAACCACTAATTTATTTTTGGTGATTATTCTGGACATTTTATATAGACAAAATCATGTGATACTGATATATGGCCTTTTATGACTGGCTTCTTTCACTTAGTATAATGTTTTCAAGGTTCATCCATGTTGTAACATGCATCCGTACTTCACTCCTTTTTATTGTATGGATATACCACATGTTTATTTATCCATCAGTTGGTGTATATTTGTTTCCACTTTTTAGCTATTATGACTAATGCTACTATGAACATATGCTTATAAGTTTTGTGTGAACATACGATTTTATTTTTCTTGGGCATTTACCTAGGATGGGAGTTGCTAGGTCATATATAACTCTGTTTTGTTTTCTTTTTATGATAGACTTTTTTTTTTAGAACTATTTTAGATTTACAGAAAAATTGAGGAGAGAGTTCCCATATACCCCACACCCAGCTTCCCCTGTTATGAAATCTTTCATTAGTAAGGTACATTTGTTAAAATTACTGAACCAAGGGCCGGCCCCGTGGCTCACTCGGGAGAGTGCGGTGCTGGTAGTGCTGAGGCTGCGGGTTTGGATCCTATATAGGGATGGCCAGTGCGCTCACTGGCTGAGCGTGGTGCAGGCAAAACCAAGCCAAGGGTTGTGATCCCCTTACCGGCCAAAAAAAAAAAAAAAATTACTGAACCAATATTGATACATTTTATTAATAAAAATTCTTACTTTATTTAGATTCCCTTAGTTTTTAATCTCATATCATTTTTCTGTTTTAGGACCTTATCCAGGGTACCACACTACATTTAGTCATATGTCTCCATAGTCTCCTTGGGCTGTTAACAGTTTCTCAGATTTTTCATTGTTTTTGATGACCTTCCTGATTTAAGGTAGTGCTGGTCAAGTATTTTGTAGGATACTCCTCTATTGAAATTGACGGCTGTTTTCTCATAGACTGAGGCTATAGGATTTTGGGAGGAAGACCAAAGAGGTAAAGTGCCATTTTCATCACATTTTGTCAAGGGTACATACTGTTAAAATGATTTATCACCTGGCTTGTTGACCTTCTTCACCTGGCCAAAGTAGTGTTTGTCAGGTTTATCCATTATAAAGTTCTCTCCTCTCCACCTCCAGCCTTTCCGTATGCATTCTTTGAAGGAAATCCCTGTGTGCAGCCCACACTTAAGGAGTGGGGATTTATGCTTCTCCTTGAGGGGGTAATATCTGCATAAATTATTTGGGATTTTGCAAGGGAGATTTGTCTCTTCTTCTTCATCTATTTATTTTTTCAATAATTTGTATCAGCATGGACTCATGGATATTTATTTTATACTTTGGTTTATAATACAATACAGTATTGTTCTGGCTTTGGCCATTGAGAACTCTTTCAGTTGGCTCTTTTGTGCTTTTGACATACCCCCATCAATGTGGATTTATTTTATTTTTCTTTTGTTTTTGAGCACTTCCTTACTTTATGGCACCACAGGATGCTCCAAGCTCATCTTGTTATTTCCTTACCCAGTCCTAGAATCAGCCATTTCTCCAAGGATCCCTGGCTTCTTTAATTGGAAAACTGGCATTAGAAATTTTGTATTAAAAAACAATGTGTGGGGCCAGTCCCATGGCGCACTCGGGAGAGTGCAACGCTTGGGTGCGCAGCGGCGCTCCCGCCACGGGTTCGGATCCTATATAGGCATGGCCGGTGCGCTCACTGGCTGAGTGCAGT